GTGAATGCACAAAGAGGAGTGAGGATGGACTTGAGATGGGATCTCAGACTTTGGGTACCGATGGCATTTGAGGGGAGGGGTAGAGAGCAACAGAAAGCTGGCTCCCCAATTTCTCAGCTGATGCAGCTGCCACTGCTCTGAACGACTTCTCACTGATGTCACATTCAGAAACTACATGATGGTTTCCCCAAATCGCCCTCTTTCTTCTCATTAGAGTGTAAGGGCGGGAATAGCTTTGGGGAAAGGAATTTGCTCTTTTAGAGAAATCAGAAACCTTTCTTCTTGGTGACCTTTTCACTCTTCGTTGCCAGAAGACTTTGACCTTTGACCCCAGGGACGCTGGGAGAACAGGCTCCGGACAACAAAGCATTACAAATACAGCGGGTTTTTCATGGAAAGGATGTGGTACATTTTCATGCAGACGGCTTTCCCCAGGTAGTAGTCAATGTACAGAGAGAGAATGATGGTGCTTCCTTTACTAGGAACTTAGCTTTTCATACACAAATAAAGTGTGACTTCTGGTAAAGTCAGAAACAGAAAGAACATTCTTTTGTGCTGATGAGAAAGATAGGAAGAAAAAAAAAACCAACAAAAAAGACCCAGGAACATAGAAGGTATTAACATTAGACATCAAGGTTTTGTGTCATTTGGGGGGAAGGGTGCATTTTAATCTGATTTTAATTATGCTGACAGACAATGAACACACTTCTATCCCCGCAGGAGTGTTCAAGGCTGGAGCAGAAGGTGAATCTCCTAGTTGGATCCTGAGACAAAGAAATGCCCTCTGGCCCCAGGGGCTAGCCAAGAAGGACACTCTCTTACATTCACAGCAACAGCTCATTTCCAAAGTTTGGAGTTATGAAGGTAAGAGTCCATCACTGCCCTCAAAGAGCTCACAGGCATGTGGAGAGAAAGACAAATAGTCAATGATAAACTGCAGAGGTATCCAAAGTGTGACCTGTGAAGCATCTGGCGATTAGGAGGTGGGTACAGTACGAAGGTCACCAAGGGGAGCACATCTTTAAGATGCAAGTGGCCGTTTAAGGGGGCCCCTCTCAACCATGCCCCAGGGGTACTGGGATGTGAAATAAGTGACTTGGAGCATGATTTTCTTTTCTTACATTCAAACATCATCTAAAGTCTGCACTAGAATTGAAAGACCTGGGTCATTCTCCTGGGATTTCTCAAGACTCAGGTTTGACCTCAAGTCCCATCTTTCAAAAGCCAAGTGGTTTGGGTGGTTCCGTGCCCTCAGCCAGGCCCCCCCGCCCCCGACCCCACAAACCCTGGCTTCCCATCAGGGGAGATGGGGAGGGGGCGGGTTTGTTTCCCAAGCCTCTGCCTCCTCCCCATGCCCAGTGCGCCGCCCTTGCCCGCACAGTCATCTTGGCAGCTCGTGTGGGAGGATGCTGACCACAGGTTGATCTGAGCCCAGGCTGCTCACCCCACAAGGCTCCCTGCAGAGGTCCCCTCGGTGACTCGGCGTCTGGGGAGGCTCTGCTGCCCGGGCCCTGCTGCCCTCACCTCCTTGGCAGGTGGCCCGTCGTGGTTGACCGACAGTGGGTCTGTGACTGTTCTCTTCCTCCTCCAGCAAAGACAGGGTGGGCGCCACAAGGGAGCACCCAGGCTATGGTCTCTCTCCATCCCCAGAGCCCCTCCCAACTTCCTGGTTGTGGCTGGGAGGCCCAGAAGGAGCTGCCAGGCCATCCCATCTGCAAAACCAGCTTGTTGCCAGCAAACTGAACACATTTAATACAGAAACCATTGGGACAATGACTAGGGAACCCCTCAGACTGGGTCATCGTCACGGAGTGACTTTTCCCGTGCCTCTCCATCTTCTACCCAATTAGATCCTGGCTCCTTAGTTTGGGGCACCGAACAGCAGTTGGGGGTAAAGGTCACTTTGGTAGACGATTTTCTTTCTCTCTAAGCCACAGAACTTCCTCCAAGGAACAAGCACTAACCTCCGATTCTCAGAAGCAGAACAAGCCAAGTCACACATTTCTATGAATTCTCCCCGAAAGCCGATGATCACTAACAATAGCAATCGCCTATTGATTGAGCGCAGGTGCCAGACTCGTCACAGAGCTCGCCGGTCCCGGAGCCTCCCAGAGACGGGGGAGCTCATTTCACAGCTCAGTCAACCGCCTCTCAGCAAGGCTAAGATGGAGAGGCCAGGGGAGACTTTGCAGAGAGAGTGAAGTCAGGACCGCCAGGATCTGGTCCCGGCCCCGCCGACCCTGCCGTGGCGTGGGGAAGCCTTCTTTCCCAGTGGAAATTCCAAAGCACTAGACAGACGGTTATCAGCTGTAACAGTAAAGCACGTTGGCGGGTCAGTTGCCTGACACTCAGTGTCTCTACAACGGGAATGATAGCCCAGCAGGTACATGGATCCTTCCCTGTGCCTCCCAAGTTGGAAATCGAAAGGAAACCAACTTCGGCTACCATGTGCCCAGGTGTTGTGGCGTGGCAGGGGGCAGGAGTACCACCACGTGCTTGGAAACAGAAACCGCTTTGAAAAAGATACATACAGGTACATATAGAACCGTGGACTTCGAAGACACAGCTCTGTGGCCCTTTGACACAGCTCTGACATTTTGCAGAGAAGGAACTCCCCTGAACATCTTATCCATAAGGGTTAGTTAAGACAAGGTAAGAATACCGGCTTGCTTAGAACAAGGAGACAAGCCCTGTCTCTGAGGACATCCTCACTAATTGTTCCCTAACCTGTGAGCTGTGTGAGGGGGTTTGACCTTAACAACTTCGCACCAGCGACCTTCAAACACAGCACAGCACCCTGACTGGCCCTGCTAATCTTTCTGGCACCCACTGTAGTGTCTCCACTCACTGAGCACAATGTGCAGCCCTGGCTTAATTTTTTTTTCCTGTATCTTTTCTCCTTTCATTGGTTTAGTGTGTCTTTTCTCTTCCCAATCCCTGTTGCTTAACATCAGAATTTGTACAAAATCTCTATAGACAAGGATTTGGCAGTAGGGGAACTGGCAGTGAGACTCTGTCACTGTATGTGAAGAAACTGGATGACCAGCCAGTTAGATTTTATTTCTAACAGCTGGGAAATATAAACCCAGGATAGAATGAGGGAGCGTTCACCAGGTGGCTGAAATGAACCCCAGACTGGGTCCAACACAACACGTCTTTAAACCTTCAACTCCAGAGAACATTCAGTTTCATCCATGCGCATTGGTTCTCAAGAGCAGGCAACCAGTGAGATCGAGCCTGTCTGTGAGGTGTGTTCTGCCACCAAGCAGCTTCAAGAAGGCTGGGCGAAGCTGTTAAGGAGAAAGTTTATTCCTCCTCAGGCGAAACGGAATCATCACAGGGAATTCCACATGTGGTAGATTCCCTTAGAGATACGGACAGATAGACACCAGCGAGGGGAAAAAGATTACATTCCTTGAGATTTTCACTTCTGGAAAACAAAAACACAAAATATTCTGAGTGCTGGGGGCGGGCATATTCACAGCAACCATTTACTTTTCTGTTCAGATTCTCAAGTTTGTTCTCTTAAAGTAGGAGGAAGATAACATGGGTTCTTTTTGTCACCAGTAAGCTGTTCAGCTTATATTCTGAGCAGCTGGTGTTCTTGTCACGTCTAAGAGGCAAAGATGCGTTTGTGCCCAAAAGATATTGCAGAAAAGTTCGAAAAGCTACTGTTGCCTCAATGGCATGTCACGTGTGCCCTGGGGCTACTAAAAATTTGCATTCTGTACATACAAATGGGTGGCTAGATGGATGGACAGACAGATGGATGGATGGATGAATGGACAGACAGATGGAATGATACATGGATAAGTAGCGGGATTTTTTTTTTAATCCCTTTAACTACCCAACTCACACACAGCCTGATGCAGAACAAGCTTCCAATGAAGGAAGACTTGAGCCTTAGTGGTTTCAGTAACAGTCAACTGGTCACTGCCTTTCAAGACTTGATCTTGGAAGAAACTCAAAGTCACCTTACATGCTTTGGTATCTGTTCTTTCTGCATAACCGTGGGATTCAGAAGTGTCCTCGGTGTCTCCATGCATCAGTGAAGCACGTGACTTGGTACCTGGGGTAATTTGAGGATCCCTGCTACTCCAAGATGGTTTCTGAAAATTCTACCGTTAGTAGGATGAACCACAAGAGTAAGGCTAGAGGCCAGTGAAAGAAAGCATTTCCTCTTCCAAGTCTGTCATGGAGAAAGTCTATAGAAGATAAATCCCAAGACTCTTGCTGAGGACCTCCAGTTCCTTGCTCTAGGCACTGTCCCCATGGCCTGAGTCACCGTGAGTCCATTATTTTCGAGTGTATTAATCTCTGAGTGCCCCCATTTTCATGGAGAGATGATGCAAAGGAACACAATTGGGACCAAAAAATGAAAGTCCGGCATACATGCTTCATTTTACAGAGAACTCTATCCCTCCCTTCGTGTTAAGTTTCTGTTTGAATCACCTGAAAAGATGATATTTTAAGGCAATGTGACCCCATAGTCACCACTGAGGTCTTCACAGTCCTCTGCAGATGGCAAAATCCCATATGATGCATGTCCTTGGTGCTTTGTGCCTCGAGATGTTCTCTGTTTCTGTTGGCCAAAACCCTTCTAGAGAGTATTCCGAGTTTCCTTCTCTGTTACTGTGATAGAATTTGGATCTGTTTCACAGGCATTCACAAAGGAGCACCTAGAAGTCACGTGCTGGTTGGAGTTGGCTTGAACCAGGACGCAGCGATTAAACATGAGACCCCTGGATCAAGATGCTCACAGAATCCCAAGAGAAATACATAGGAAAAGGCAATGCCACAAGGCTTAGCAGGAGGGATCCTTGTGGTCTGCACTGAGGTGGCAGTCAGGCAAATCTACCCAGGCAATACAGTTGCATTTTATTGGTTTCAGCTGCATGTGGATCTACAGTTGGCTCAAATTTTTAAAAATTAAAACATAGACGTATAATTACGACATACAGTCACAAATGCCACGTGGGCCTTGGAGCGCAGGGTGGAAGTGCACCACCCCACTTGGGTTAGGGAGAAGCAGCCAAAGAAGTTCTCCCAAGGAAGGAGACCTCGTCGCAGAAAGATGCGAGGACATTCAACAGGAAATACTGTGTAGACGTTTGTCTCTCCCACCGGCCTACTGCTCCCTTTCTGGGTTTGAGCCACTTCTTTTAGATCTAAAAAAAATGCCTGTTTTAATCTGTAACAGTCCCCGTTTCTCCTCTGCTCTTTTGCAGTTCATTTAGTTGTCAAAGAACCTGAAACATTTATCTTATAGAAGTTCCCAATTTCTGGATTTGAGTTATTGCTTCTTCAGGGGGTCTGGATCCTTTCTCTGCCCCCAGTATTTCGTGGAAAGCGGTAGTTTCATCATCATCATTATCACGTTACTACCAAGTCATCCCAATGTAGTTGGAAAGGTAAGAATGTGGGCAATAGAGTGCTAACTTCTAGAAGTCTGATTCCTCTCTCCTGTAACTTTAAACTGAGTCTTTCCTCCCTGTGATATAGAACATGCATTGCAATCTCATGTTGTTGCTTGAGTTTGGGAAGTGATTCCATTACAAAGAAAATGCATGGACCTATGCAGTAGCCAAGAAGGGCCAGCCCTGCAGCTGCATTTAGAGCAGGGAGTTTCTGGAAACAGACCTTTCTGACGGTAAACTCCAACAAAGCAGGTGGGTGTTATGTTAATGACTAGACTCTTAGTCACCTCAGGGGAACTGAAATCAGATGACACCAGGATGGTGGAGGGAGGTGAGATATTAGCAATTTTGACTGCAGATGTGAGCATAATCTCAGGGGCCTTTTTAAATAATCATTCTTCTGCTTTGATTAAATGCCTTATCTACTACTGGGCTACAGAGTGGGAGGCAGAGGTGAAGTGAGGAGATCCAAGATTATTAATTTGCCTTGAAACCTATGCTTTAAGAAGGCCAGGAGAAGAGAGCTGCTGCTAAACAAAACACAAAATCTTCCCCTCTCAGCTCACCCTGTGCATGCCAGCACTCAGAAACAACCCACACCAAACAGACCCGTGCATGTTTGTGTGTAGCAAACACCGGTTTAGGGAGAGTGACACAGATTTCCAAAATGCCAAAGGCATTTTTTAAAAAAGAGGGGAAAAGATGAAGTACAAAAGCTCTGTCATTTGCATTTGACACTTAACTTCTTTTCCACCTGCCCATGAAACAGCCTCCCTGGGCTCTTTTCCACTTGAAGTGTCCACTAAGATCGTCTTAGGGACACAGACTCAGCCTGATCGCTGTAAACACTCAGCCCCGCTGGAATCCAGAGAGCCTCGGGTCTAGAAATTTCAGCTCACCTGATCTTGCCTCACACTTTCTTCTTCTGATTATTTGTTCTGCTTGTGCGACTGCAACAAACCTAGGAATGTCATAAAAGTGAGCTTGCCAGGAGGAAACAGGGTTCTTGGATCAAAGGATTCACACTCTGCTCATGAAATGATTCATTCAGTCAGCTGCTCAACATTTATCCAATACCTCTGATGCTCCATGCTGGTGAATGGATACAAAAATGGGCCACTTACCCCTTCCGCAATGTGATTTATGATATGATATGTTATGATGTGATATGAAATGATATACAATGCTATGCTATATTATATAATGTTATACTGTATTATATGATACTATGCTCTACCACCTTACATTACAGGATAGTGTGTATTATTTGTCCATTTGATACATGATATGATATGTTACAATATGATATGATATATACAATGCTATGCTATATTATATGATACCATACTGTATTATGTAACAGTATAATGTATTATATACTACTCTCTACCACCTTATGTTACAGTATAGTGTATATTATTTATCTGTTTAATATATGATATGATATGTGTTATGATGTGATATGAAATGATATACAATGCTATGCTATATTATATAATGTTACACTGTATTATATGATACTACACTCTACCACCTAACATTACAGTATAGTTCATATTATTTGTCCATTTGATATATATGATATGATATACAGTGCTATGCTATATTATATAATACTATACTATATTATGTAATACTAAACTATATTATATGATACTACACTCTACCACCTTACATTACAGTATAGTGCATATTATTTGTCTGTTTCTTGTCTGTCTCCCTCTTACAATAGAAAATACAAGAAAATGATTAAGAGCATGAACTTTGTAGCCATGCCTGGATTCATACCTTGGACCAGCCCAGCTGAGTGACCTTGGAAAATCTCCCGAACGTCTCTGAACTTTAACTTCCTTCTCAGTCAGAGGGCAATCACAGCAGCACGTATCTCCGAGGGCTGTTGGGAACAGCCAGTGATTAAGACCGAGGACAAGGCCTGGATGAGTAACAGGTATGTTTTCATCGTTAGAAATGTTCTTATTTGCTGGGGGAGTCTCACACTGGGATGGACAGCTCCTCTGTCACATACAGAGGTTTCTCCAGGTCCCTGCCCACCTCATGTCTGAGTGTAAGCCTGAATCAGTCAGCGTATTCATCCCTTTGCCACTGGGATCGGAACAGGGGTGGGCGGATAACCAGGCAAATGACCCAGACGGATTTGACCCAGCCATGACTTTGATTTGCCCAACTGAGGACTCAGACCCACTTCCATGGGACCTACTCCATGGGGATTGACAGCTGGCACTGCTCCAACCCTCGTGTTCCCACCAGGAGCCTTGGCCCAGAGCCCACGCAGTAGACAGCAAACACAACAGGTGGACGGAAGCCAGCTCGGATGGAACGGTGTGACTCCTGCCCCAGCCAGACCTGCAGCAGCTCTGTCCCTGTACCTTTCAGTCACGTGGGCCTGTCAGTCTTCTTTTTGCTTAAGTCAGTTTAGGTCAAAGTTGTTCCATCCATAACTGAAAGAGGGCTAATTGGCACCCCCATGACATGCTGAGGACGGGGACGTGCAGAACATGTGAAGAACTCAGAGGTCACACTTTGACAGGCAGGTCACCTTTGCCTGGTCACATGCTCCCAAAGTTCCAGAAGGCTCTGGAACCGAGGTCAAGATACACCGGTGGGGATCCATGAATAAAAGGCAGGAGTCAGGGAGGGCTTCTGGAAGCAGTTCACGACTGAGCCCTCTTAAATGCTTGTTAGATGCCAGTCCCCTTGCTCAGAGCTGCCCAGACCACCCTGCGCTGAAGCCGCACCTCGAGGAATGAGCGTGACTTGGGCGTGTGGAAATGGGGGTAGGCTGGCATTCCTCTTTGAAGATTACAAAAGAGCACCGTGTGCCTCAAAGCCCTGGGGCGGCAGCTGTGACTCAAGGCTGGAACACGGCCCACTTCGGTGGTAGCAGCCAGCGTGGCAGCCAGTCGGCACACCTTGGTCCACCCAGGGACCTGATCGTGGCCCTCTGCTCATCCCAAATTCCATCCCAGCAAGATGGACTGATTTCCATCTTGGTCCCAGGGTCCGCACATCTCCACCACTGTTCCACCCTGTTCCAGCTGGGGAAGACGCAGGCTCATTAGCGAACAAGATAAGCCTCCTGGTGACTGAGGGGCGGGCCAGCTGGACCAGTGAGAGGTGAGTGCAGAACTATCTTGTTGCAACACAGCGTCCAGACACCCTGCCCCTCTCGCAGGCCTGTTTTCTGGGACACTGGGCAGGACAGCCTGTGTGCCTAAGAATGTCAGAAAACAAGGCAAGGAAACAGAGCATTTGTGTAGTCATTTTCATTTGAATAAACATGTACTTAGCACCTACTGTGTGCCAGGCACTGCAATAGGCCAAAGAGATGGAGAGGTGAGAGGAGTGGTCCTGGCTTCCAGACGCTCCTAGGGCAGGTGGGGGCCCGTATGGCACAGTGAGGACTCTAAGGCAGTGAACTCAGAGGCCCGGCACCCCCCACCTTGGGGGCTGGAGAACACGAGAACTGAGGTGAAGCTTTAAGAGGAAACCAAGACCTGAAGAGTCACACTGAGCCAGCAGACAAGACAGAGGGGACACGGGGAGGGCTGGGGTTCCAGGGGGACAAAGTAATACAAAGACTCAAGAGAAAGGAAAAGAAGGAGGAACTATGCCAGGTTCAGGGGTCACGACAGCTTTAAGGCAGGAGGGAAAAGACAGAAGGGAAAATGTTTCCTGAGACCCTAGTCCACACTCGGCCCCATAGAGGAAAACGGAACATCAGCACAGCCCTTCGCAAAGCTAATCAGTTCTCACCAGGACTCACCAGGGGGTGGCTGACCTGTGCCAAGCACTGAGTGCACATGCTCACCACAATTCCAAGACCCTCTCCACGTCTGACCCCGGGGGAGACTGGGGCCAAGAGACAGGGTCTTCTGGCTCGCCTGGGTGTCACTCCTGGGACAGAGCAGGAATCACACCCCATGCTGGCCTGGCAGCAGAGTGCAGCACGTCCTGGCTGGTATCCTCCCCCAATGACCCTTCGCTGCTCTGCCACCAAAGGCTCTAAACATCGTTCCCCTAAAACCACAGCATCTTCTGGCCTGGCAATGCAGGAAGGTTTGCCCCCCAACCCCCGTTCTGCCCCCACCACGCTGGCTCTGTTGTTTCGACTCCACAGATGGTCTGACTTTGTCATTACGACCCATCAGTGTTCACCAGCATCCCAGCATGCCAGCTCTGTGTGTGTGTGTATGGGTGTCTGGTCCACGATTACCTACCCACCCTCTGTTCAACCTCAAAGGGCTGAGGACTTTCCCTCCATACAATCTGGATTTCTTTTTTTTTTTTTAACCTCCTCTGCAATCCAGTCCATTTTCAGTTTGAATGCTGAGCTGGAGAAGACAGGAAAGCTTTGCTGAGGTCGGAGGGTGAATCAGCGGGCTGTCTCCAGTCTGGTCTCCGTCCCCAACCTGCCAGCACCTGCGTCTCTCAGCAGCTCTTCTCGGAGCCTGGAGTCCACAGTCAGTGACGCTCTTCTGAAGAATCCCCGTCGTTCCTCCAAAGCTCCGATGCTCTGGGTCAAGTTTCCAGACAGGACACAGACCAAGGACAGCAGATCCTAAACACTCACTGCTTTCGTTCCCAGCTCTCTCTGCTGGGAGGCAGGACAGGCACCCCAAAGGGCAGGTTCTGCAAAAGCCCGCACACTGAGATCCTTTGAAGGGAGACCGGGGGGAACCAGCTGCAGCTCAAGAGTGGGCGCTGGCAACTCTGAACTCTTCTGTTCCAGAAAATACCCAGTTGGAGCCTCCAGGCTTCAAAATTGGCATCAGGAAATGGCAGGGAAAGCGGGGATCTAAACAAGAGAAAAACCAGGGAGGAAGGAACAGATCACTAAGAAGCTTTTATACAGAGAGCCCTTCTGCTTTGTTTTTCTAGGTTACATCTATTTTTTATTAGTCTCTGAGGCCCCAGCTTTGGACAACTACTATGTATTTCAACAAGGCAAAGGTTTATAAAGAGCAGGGCAGGTGAGACTTCAGACAGTTATCTAAAGGATCTGCCATCTTCAACAGAGAGCTCTGTCTATACCATGAAAAAGTCAGGGTAGTTTAGAATTGACTAGAAGGGTGAGTGTAGGACATCCAGATGGGGTAATTTTAAACTAAATTACCAAATAGGCCAGTTCTGGGTGGGTTTTTTTTTCAGCTTTATTGGGATGTAATTGACAAATATAAATTGTATATATTTCAGGTGTACAGTGTAATGTTTTGGTATACATATACATTGTGAAATGATTACCACAGTCAAGCTAGTTAAAATACCCATTACCTCACACAGTTACTATCGTGTGTGTGTGTGTGTGTGTGTGTGTGTGTATGTGTGTGAAGAACACTTAACATGTGCCCTCTTAGCAAATTACACGATACAACATACAGCGCAGCACTGGTGACCGTAGTCTCCAGGACTTATTCATCTTGCATAACCAAAACTTTGTCTCCTTTGACCATCTCTCCATTTTCCCCTGTCCTTTGATCCCCCCCAAACCACCATCCTAATCTCTGATTCTGTGAGTGTGACGTTTTAAGATTCCACATAAGGTGAGATCATTCAGTATGTGTCTTTCTGTGTCAGGTTTATCTCCCTCAGCATAGTGCCCTCCAGATTCACCCAGGTGGTCACAAGTGGCAGGGGGCCCTTCCTTTTCAGGGCTGAAGAATGTTTTATTGGATGTGGGTACCACATCTTCTTTATCCATTCACCTGTGGGTGGGGACTTGGGTTGTTCTCGTTTCGTGGCTATTAGAAATAAGGCTGCAATGAATATGGGAGTCCAGATATCTCTTCGAGAGACTGATTTCATTTCCTTTGGACGTAGACCCATAAGTGAAATTGCCAGATCATATGGTAGTTGTGTTTTTAACTTTTTGAGAAACCCCCCATACTGTTTTCCGTAGTAGCAGTACCAATTTATATTCTCACCAACGGTGTCCAAGGGTTCCCTTTTTTAGCCACATCTTTGCCAACCCTCATTTAGCTTTTGTCTTTTTGATGATAGCCATTCTAACAGGTGTGCGATGACATCTCACCGTGGTTTTGATTTGCACCTCCCTGTGGCTTTGGTGATGTTTTAGGCCCATTTAATTGAAAATGTCCACTAGGGGACTTGAGTAATCCAGGGAGTCATTCCGTGTAATGATTGGGAGTTGGGAGAGGCAGTCCCTACCGGGGTGCCCCGGGGCTTGGCCTCTCGCAATGTTGACATTGACAACTCAGGGTGACAACAGGAAGTGGAGGCGTGCACCAGCCATTCGTGGAGCTCCCCGGGGCCTCTCCTGGTGGAGGACCCTTCACAGGCACCATTTCTAACCCTGACAATCTCCCCTTTTGCAGGTTAGGGCCCTGCTTCAGAGAGGTTAAGTCATAGAAAAAGCCCACCAATTTCATCTGCAGCTGGCACAAGCCTGGGAGGAAAATTTGAACTAGTCGATGGCACGTTCTAGGTCTGAAGAGATTTAGACAAGCAGGGAACAGGCTGAATCTACTGAAGTGAAGCCTGTGAGGGACGGTTGTGTGTTTCTGTGCTTGGGTCCAAAAACATAAGGTCACACGCAGAGGATGGGGGAAACGTGAGAAGAAAAGGCCCAGGGCCACGCATGATGAGTCACCGGTGTTATGTGTCTGCCAGCGAGGCTCGTGAAATTACGGTCGGCGTGAGGAGCAGACAGATGTGGTTCAGGGAGGCGGAGGGCGGTGCTCACTCTGTGATGAGAGGCTCATACCTGGGGAGCCGGGTGCAGCACCTGAACCCTCAGAGAGGGCAGCAACCAGGAGGCAGGGGCACTTGAAATTCCAGTATGTGTGGAAATGCTACAGGCACTGTGTCTAGCAGTGAAAAGGAAAAGCAGGAAGAAGACGCCACGTTGGTTGTCTTCCATTCCCCAGAGACCCTGAGGGATGTAAGGACTCATTATACATGGCATTTTGAGTGTGTAAAGTCAGGACTCATGTATAGAAGAAAGGCATACGACTTGATCCTAGACAGACCAAGAAATAAAAATCTTTCCTGACAAATCTCAGGACTGTGGGAAGACAGACGGACAGGGTGGAAGGTAAAATAGGGAGGTAGTGAGCACCCTGTCGCTAGCATTAATCAAGTATATGCTGTCAGGGACTTTTGTGGGTGATAGGTACTTTGGTTTCCGTGGACCCCTTCTTCCATAAAAAACTTAATTATGTTTATGACTGTATAATGACATATCTAACCCATGCTGAATGATAGTCATTTCTTTAACTCTGACTTTAGTCTGAGTTTAGTCTCATGGGCCCTACTGCCGTGCCTAGTAAAATCAGCCCTGCATGCTGTCTGTTCACGTGCCAGCATGTTGCAAAGAAGATTCTGACCGTATACTGGTTGGAAGCAGAGTGTTAAAGTCAGATTTCTAAACTTCCCCCAGTCTAAGATCCTCTGAAGTGAGTTCTGCTAAAGGATAGAGGAGTGCCCCAAACTGCCTTGGGAGATTGTTAGGGTGGATGTGTTGCTGGGAGCAAAAGTCAAAGAAGTGTGTTCCTGCCACAATTCCATTCCATAAAAAATGTACACACAGACCCCGATTATTATGCATGGTAACACCTGAGATTACAATTAGGGGATGGAGGTGGGGAAGAGGAATCGTGGTTCTTTTGTTTGATAGCCTCCTATTTCTGTCTTGTTCAAATGTTTATATTCAACAAACAGCATGAATCCTTGTTATAAAATTACTAGCTCAAAATACTGGCAAAAGGTGTATAAAACTGACTTTAACTTTTATGGGGTGAGGAGGGTGGTTTAGCCCAGTTCTCTGTTCTTTGTCCAACCAGGAATGCTATCACGATAGGTGATGCCGTGTGGGTATCACCCGGCATGTTTGGTGTTTTCAGTGAGCAGAACAACACGTGAGAAAGCTCAGGAAAGCCCATTATGCAACCAAGAATGGAGATATAAAACAGGGCCACGAGGGATCCCTTCTCCCAGGCCCAGCCAAACAAATTCACAAACACACAGATTCAGAAATTGTCTGCATCGACCTAGTCCTCCGGTCATCACACAAGGATTTAAGTCTGATCTGTTTTTCCATCTCCCAGGTCGAACGGCTGCTCAGTGCCTCTGGAACAGGACCTCAGCATCACCCCACACCCAGGGGGAGGAAGGAGAGTGACCAAAACTACAGAGCCAGCACCACCACCAGCCTGTCCTTGGAGCCATCCTGCAGGGAAGACCCAGTCTGAGCAAACACTGTCCCAATATCAGGTCCGTTTTTTTTATTTCTGCTTTTACTTTTTTTTTATCGGTTCTGATTTCCTCACAGTAAATCTTTGAAGGGTTGAGTGGTTTCAAGACACATTCCCTTCTCCGTGTAGCTGTGAATACGATCAAAAAAGACAACACTGAAATAGTGAATTGCCAGCGGTTCCTAATTGAAGGAAAAGAAGAATCTAGGAAGAGGGCTATGTCCTGAAAAAAGGAAAGAAGGGAAAAAAAAAAAGACTAGCATGGAAATCTGTTGATCTGGAATGGCCAGAGTAGGGGAAGAGACCTCAGCGTTTTAGATTCCTATCTATTGCCTAAACCCCAGAGAAGGCCTTCCATTCAAATGTTCGTGTATGCACAAAGCGATTTATTAAACACCTCCTTTCTGCCAGGCCATACTGGATGTCTTTGTCGGGTGAGGAGAGGGAGGAGAGCTGGAGTAAACTTTGGGAGGCCGTCCCAGGAATTCTCACTTGAGAAAACATCTGGGTTTTTCACATCTCTTGTGCAAAACAAACAAGTATTTTATTAAATGATGTGCGTTGTGTTCGAAGGTAGAACTCTTTGGGAGCCTGATGTGTGTGCGTGCACACACACACACACACACACACAAACGAAACAAACATGAAATCATCAAGACCCCACACTCTGGCAATGAGATGCTCTTGCTATCATGGTCCTTCACAGAAGCACAGATGATAGCTTACAGGGTTTTTTTTTTTTTCAGAATCCACTTTCCACATCAAGATCACCCAGTAAGCAATCTAAATAGTGAGTAAAGAGACCAGAGCTTTCTTCTGCCCCTTTCCCTCTCCTCCACCCCCAGGCATACCCACCCCCCATCAAAAGGATACCTTCCCCGAGAAAGGAACCTCCCAAACTCATTTGTTCATATTTCACTTTCTCCGCCTGATTACTCCCCTCCCCTTATAGCCTGGCTTCCCTGAAACCAAATGTGAGTCGTTCTCCAACTGCACCGGAAAATCAGAATTTATTGTACATATGTTTGTGTTCCACTTAATAAAAAAACCTATATTTTAAGATAAACTTTGTTAGTAATTCATGAGGTAAGTGACTATTTATGCTAATCAGGCAGAAATATATTCTCAAGCATAATGCATTACATAAATTTGAATGCAAAATGTTCAATTATGAAGTAAATACAGGTAATGCAAATAATAAATTACCTCTAATAAAAATTATAAAAGATGTGTCTTCAAAGAGAGAGCGGCTTTAACTTACAACTGTGAACTGCTTAAAGAGAAAAGAATTAATAAATGCTGATTTACTCTGATGATTATTTAGCACATAATTCACCTATTCACAACGACTCCTAGTAATCAGGCTGTTGTCTCATTCTCCAATATGAGGCAAGACTGTTTCCTCAGCAATTTTACCCTTATCAGATTATCTCGTCTGATTCTATTAATTTTCTTCCATGAATCTGCTAACAGTGATTTGTGATTTACTTGCCCTGCTAACTAAAGACTGTTGAAAGGATTTCTCTGACACGATGGCTGGAAACATCGTTCAGTTACTCTGAACAACTCTTTTCTCAAATCGATTCGGTTGGGTTCATAGTGAAATTCAGTGGACCCTGGTTAGTTCTGCACCATAAAATCAGCTCCTGGATAAACAAAGAGTTCAGACACTCCACCTGATGCATCTTGTTCTTTCCAGATTATATATGTCTGATTCCAACATGATATACCTGAGTTGCTGAAACTCACAATCAGGAAAACAGTGTGATTTTTAGCTTTTAATCATTGTAATTTGGACATAAACAGAGTTTTTAGAAAATTTTTTTTGCATGAAGTTATGTATGTACTGACATGAGACTGTAATTGTGTTTTTGATATTACAGTTTCACAATCTTCTACGGGATCCGACCCATGCCCTCCCCTCTCCCGCCAAATTCTTCTCTAAATAGTCACTGCTTTCAGAAACTTTAATGCTACTGGTTTGAACTGGTCAGTAATGACAAATGCATGGTTTCTAAATTACTCTATATTGTTCTACAGAGATTACTGGAGTATATATAGCAAGAGGATATTAAGCAGTAAGAAAACACAGTTCGTATTGTATTTGGATTAGATTGGCTTGCATAGAAGTGAAACAAACAATGTAAGCAACGAAATCTAAAGAAATGTGGCCTGCTGTAATTGCAGAGGCTCAAAAACCTGAATAGTACTAATTAAAATGAGGGAGCTCAATTGTTATAAGAGAAACACGCTAACAGAGAACTGTAAATGTTTAGACACCCCTGTGAATCACTAAATAATAAAGTAGAAAGGACAAAAATGAGAATTAAGTTATAAGCTTGAGAGCACCCCTGCCACACAAGAAAAAAATAATTCAGATCCTTTTTTTTTTCCAAGAGAAAATGGGAGACTATAAAAGACTCTGCAATAAGAGAAAGAAAAATACCCTGGCTTGACTGCAGTGTACAAAAATAAACCATAAAAAATGTGCAGATAATAATACATTTAGCTGCCCAAACATGGGCATTTAATTTCTAGAAATGATACATAATTGCAATAATTAGGTACACGACCGTGAAGCTATATCTCGTGGTCTTCATCCTTAGTGAACTTTGTTTATACATGTTGTTTATTTATAAATGTAGCAGTTTCAGTGTTCCTGACTAAAACTTCTTTCATGACAGGCAGGGATCATATCTCACAGCTTTTACCAAAAATGTGATGCAAAGGATTAAAGAAAAAACAATTCTCATAAACAAACAAAAATTAATTCTTCCTAGATACACTGAAATTCGTATTTTACATGAAAAATATAAACTGCGGGCATTTGTGGCTAATGATTAAAAGAGACTTAGAAAAGTGTTGCGATAGACCAGGCTCAATGACATAATATGTTTATGTAATTTAAGCAGTAAATTTTCCTCTGGATGCATAAGCTGTAATCCCTTAACTTCATTACTAGGTAAAATACCGTTTGAGTGGAGGAAAGCAAAGGAATTCTCTGTTAGGTTGCATAAATATTGACATACTCTTCACTCTTTCTTCCCCAAACTGGTAATAGACATACCTCATTCCATCCCAACAAAATACTCCCATAAAACCAAAACTACCCTTATAAACACAGCTCCTCTGCAGTAATGATGAAAAGAAAAAGTGCTTTTCTGGAAAATACCAACACTGCTGGCCTTTTCGGGTAATGATGTGCCTACAAACCTTCTGGGGAGTCTCATTAGGGATTCCCGGGTTTGCTGAAGCCCAGGGTTGCCAGCATGAGAGAAATTAACGTAGGTCTAATCTGGTGTCTGAAGCCAATGAGTGACACCTAAGGTCTCGTTATAAATAGTAAACTATGCTGTCGGGTGGGTGAGAGCCTTCTGAAGTGCAATGTTCAAGAAGCTGGCTTAATACATGACTAAGTGTCAGAAGTCAGGTTTTCTGAGACTCACTTTTCAGATAAACAACTTTATAGCACTGCACTTAATATTACTTAATAGAGACATCTCATTTGTCACTGAATTACAAGTAACTTTAATTCTATTGATATTGCCGTAAAGCCCGTTGAAAATCCATCCTGGCACTTTTAAAGGGTTTGGGGCCCTGTTTGTTGCATGGGATCCTCTTGCAGAAGTCTCTCAGCCAGAATTACACTCAGAAGGCTTCTGTGTCCCCTGGCCTCTTTATCCACAGTTAAGGGGCATAGCAGGGAAAAAATGATTCCCGCACCTGCCAGCACTGTCTTCAGCCCCTTTCCTAACCAGGTCGGGTTCTCCCACTGCAGTCAAACTAACTTTCTGTGCCTCTTTTCTCCTCCCACCTTGGGAAAGCAGCTTCTTTTCATTTCATCAACAAAACTGGACACGGATCAATTTCAACTGACCTTTGCCGAAAGGTGGCGCTGTTGAGGTAAAAACCAACTCGGTCCAACAATAGTTTTCACTCTTCGATCGTTTTGCAGGCTTTTCTAAGTTGTTTTTTTTGGTGTTTTTTTTTTAATGCACCCTCCTAGCGTCTCCCCTCCCATAAAATAAAATAAATATGATTAACACCAAATGCATTTCATTAATCGGAGGAATCAACCGTCCAACATCCAAGCAGGCGGGCTGGTCTTCCAAACGCTGGGTCGGCTTCGCGCACTCTTGCTTTCTCCCAAATAAATCTCGGCTTCTCCGACTGGCCTATCGCTTTAAAATCTTAGAAACAGAGCTGTCGGTTTTCTTTTTTTCTTTTCTTTTTCTTTCTTTCCTTTTTTCTTCTTTGCATAAGCTTTAGAAGAATCGATCAAGAAAACTGAATAGTTAGTAATCCCTGCAACCCAGAGGGGGAGAAGCAGCCCCCCACCCCACCCCCACTCTGAGTTTCCGGGCCCATCCGAGAAGCTGCGGTTTAAAATTTAACCCTTCGAGGGAAGCTGGTGAAGGCTGGGGTGTTGTTCCCCCCACACACACCTTGTTCCTCGCCACGATCAAGTCTGAAATAATTAAGTGAAATGTAAAAGTGCAAAGGGCGCGCGGGACCCTGATAAGCAGGAGTCAGATTTCAGCAAAGGGTGGGTGAGTGTGTGTGTGTGAGAGGCAGAGAAAGAGAGAGAGACAGAGAAAGCGAGATGGCTCTGAAAGGCCAGACTCGGGCCAGGGTCGGAAGCCAGCGGGTGAGCCGGGCTGACCTGACTCTGAGCTTTCCCGGAGTTTACTCGCGTAGGCGTTTGCTCCCCCCAAGGGCACGCGATGCCAGCGGGCAGCCAACCCCCGAGCGGAATGGCCCCTGAACAACTTATTTCACCTCCTTTAAAAGAGGATGATAAAACGGGCTCTCTCCGCCGACTCCGAACTGCCCCGGCAGGCGCGCGGCTAGGAGATGTCCTGCGCGCAAATGAGACACTGCACCCCCGCGCGCGGGCACTGGGGAAAGGGACAAAGAGTTTGGACCAAGTTTGAGCTCCGAGGCACTGCCAGGCTCGGGGAAGTAAGGTCCCCGGGGCGGACAGCTTGGTGCTGAAGGTGGAGCAAGGAGAAAAAACTGCCCGTCGAATTCACGACGAGGGGTTGGGGGTCAGGCAGGGGAAGGGGAGCAGGCCATTTCCCGCCGAGTGAGTCGGGGGCGAGCTGGGGCTCCGTAAGGCAGGTTTCTCTCGCGCTCCGAAGTAAAGCAAACCGTCCTGCCGGTCCACACGGTTTCCCGCAGCCCCTCTGGAAAACAACTTCCCGTCTTGCGCCAAACTTTGCGCCAGGCTTTGCAACCTCCGGAGGACGCTGCGGCGCTGGAAGGGTTAAGCCAGCCCGTCCCAGCTGACAGTCAGCTGATTGGGCCCTGATTGACAGCTCCGAAAAGTTTCCTTGTTTCCATACTATTATGCTAATCGCGGCCGCTCTTGCCTCCTCCCATTGGTCCGGAGTACCAGTCAATTTCCCATTTGGGCCTGACGTCACAAGTGCTATAAAACTCAGCAATTGCTTTAAACTCTTCTTGCTGGATCAGAGGCTTTAAAATCTTTTTTTCATCTTCGAGCTGTAGCTCGGGCTGCTCGTCGGCTCGGCCTCCCCCCTTTTGCTCTCCGCCTCGCCTTTCCCCAGGACTTCGCTATTTTGCTTTAAAAAAAAAAAAAGGCAAGAAAGAACTCAACTCCCCCCTCCCTTTCCTCCAGCCGGGCTGCACCTCTGTCTTGCACTTTGCACGGAGGGAGGAAGAGCGCGAGGGAGAGAGAGAGGAAAGAAAAAAATAAAAAGAGCCAGGCAGAAGAGGAGGCGAGAAGCATGAAGTGTTAACTCCCCCGTGCCAAGGCCCGGACAGCCGCCCGCCGCGCCTCCAGCCCCGAGCGGCCGCCGCGCGCGCCCCGCCTGCAGCCCGGGCCGACGAGGCGAGCCCTCCTTATGCAAAGCGCTCAGCGGAGCGGCGAGCGGGGGACGCCGCGCACCGGGTCGGGCTCCTCCGGCTTCTCCGCCGCCGCCACCGCAGCCCGCGGAGGACCTTCCCGAGCCTGAAGCCGCCGGCTCGGCGCGCTAGCAGGCGAGCAGGCGAGGAGGGGCCGGGGCGAGCGAGCGAGCACATTGGCGTGAGCAGGGGGGAGGGAGGGCGGGCGCGGGGGGCGCGGGCAGGGCGGGGGTGTGTGTGCGCGCTCGGAGGTTTCGGGCCAGCCACCGCCGCGCGAGCTAGAAGCGCCCCAGCCCGGCAAGCTGGCTCACCCGCTGGCCACCCAGCACAGCCCGCTGGCCCCTCTCCTGCAGCCCATTTGG